GTTTCTTTTAAATTAGTTTGTCTTATTTAAAGTGTAATAAGATATTTGCACTAGAAACTGGAACAAAATTACTTGGAAAGATTTTGTGTTTTTGCAGTGAATAAGTTTTGTCAAGCATATTAGTTCATAAACCCCTGTGTTGCACGAAAGTATATTTTCTTATCATGATTGTTCTAAAGTTTATCTGTATATATTATATATATAATAGTTGATTTAAAATGTAAAATAGTCACTGGTTACTCAGGTTTATACTGATAACAGATTTGTCTGACATATAGCCTTTGGTAAAACATAAGGTTACATAGAGTAAATCATATTTTGTGGTAAACGTACAGGATGATGTAATTAAGAGAAACACGTTGCTTGATGTGTAAAGAGAAAAAATGAAGGTTGCAAAAGTTTCAGATTTGACTCAAAGTTCAGTTTAAATGCTGGTTGTGAGTCAGAGTTCAACCTTTTAAGCCATCTATCATTGGTTTGTTAATCTAGGAATTTTGTAAGTTGGTGATTTTCCCCCCATTTCTTTAAACTGCAAGGTTCTGATATTCTGTTTCAAATTCATCAAATTGTTATCTGATTTTTTTGCGTGGGTTTATTTAAATTTGCAGGTAGATTTCAAGAAGTGCGCAGGAGGTACAATAAAAATATCTTTTTCCACCTGAACGCACGCCACCGCACTCAGATATCCGGCAGATTAGACTTTTGATACCTCTTTGATTCATTATATGTTAAAATAAGCACAAAGTTCCTAATTTCTGAAGTTAAGTTTATATTGATGGGATTTGGATCGTTTGTCTTGTAAAGCCTCTTGAGATTAGAGTTGTGATTCAGTGGAAATATAATTAAAAACAAAATACAAAAACTTAAATAATAAATCTTCTGCATAGTTATGGACCCGTTGATGTACAGTTGGATCGTTGCTAAGTTAAACTAAATATTTTCTCTGGTACCAATCTGCTGCATTCATCTTTTTCCCTTTAAGAATTAAAAATTTGCTGGTTAAGTTCATCCTTCCTCTATTAACTTCTCCTTTTTTTTTTTTTACAAAGCGGAGCGCAGGCCTGGGTGCATATTTTATTTTCCATGATGCATGACAACGTGTATTTTTATTTTCTTTTATACTCTAGAATTAATTTGTTCCAGGTAGAAATTATATGTTCACTACGAGAAATAAATAAATAGTTTGATTTAAAGTTTGCATGTTTTGTCTCTGTAGTTATTTTTTGCCTGAGGTTTTAACATGTCGAGTGCAGAGTAAGTCCGATAACAGCAACACCTCCAAACCGCACAGAAAAACAGGAACTTGGCCGAAACCATTAGGATGAAGCAGCTTTTAACCAAATGTCGGCAACAAGCTGCGACTTATCTTCAGGATCCTGCATTAGATACACAGAGCAACCACTCTGAAAGTAAACCAGACTGATACAGAAAAATATATTTATTATGCATTAAATCTGGATCTGTACAGATTAGATCCTAAAAGCTGCTTTCCATTTATAAAAACATTCATTTAATTCAGAAAAATAGACATCAGCATCTATTTTTGTCATTTACAACAATGAAAACCAGAAAAATTCTCCTGTACAAATGCAGAAACATTATTACAAAAACGTAAAATTAACTTGAGATGAGAAAACTGATAAAAAGACGCAACAGTTTCCATAGAACTGTTGTATAAATGAAAGTCATTCATCAAAGAGCACATGCAGTTCCTGGGTTGTGAAAACAGAAACTTGTTTCACCACCTCTTCCTGTTCTCAAGATTTTTCATCTGATTGTAAATTTTTTTTTCTGTGACAAAAAACTCTCAATCAATAGGAAACATTGCAACAGCAAAACATTAAAATGCGTCATTTACATTCAGAAACGAACAGCTGTAAAGTCTTGATAAACGCACCTGTCCGCCAGCACCTAACTCCATAGTTTTGCACATTTATCAATGAGTTGATTTTTCCTTTGAAAGTCACTGACATTTGATGCGTTCTCAGAATTTAGAGCGTGATGAGGTTGACTCAAAAGTCAAACATCGCTTGATGAAATATGCAGCTGCAGAAACCAGGCGCGTTGTTGGTGTTTGACGTTAGACGCCAACAGGAACTTTGAGGGGGTTTTTAGGAGAAACAAACGGAGACATTTCAAGAATGACTAAGATATCCAAGACTCTACGTCAAGAGAAACAACTGTGTCATATTTACCGCTTCTGCTTATTGAGATCTGTCAACATCCAGCTTCTTCTTGCCCAACATTGGGTAAATAATGGGCCATGCAAGTGAAGATACTGCCATAACCCAATGTTGGTCAAGCTTCAGCTGCCAGAATCATGGCCTCACATCTGATTCTACAACATTTGGCTGCAATACAAGCCCAGATCACCATTCCTCCACCACCATACCTAACTGGACTCTGTTTGGGTGTCTTCAAACATGGACAACCATTTCTACTTTGGCTTCATCAGTCAAAAGGAGGTTGCATCTGTTGTCTTGTTTCATTAAGGCACAACTACATTTTTACTTTTGTCATTGCTCTCAACCTTTGACCTTCTAACCTTGGGGTGAATTTTTCAGGTATTTCCCCAGGTGGGAATGGAGATGTTTTAATACCTGAGAATACTTTCTAGAGTTTTTCCATAACTTCTTAGTTTTTGAAAATGGTTTTATGATGTTTTGCAGATTGATGTGCTTCTCTGACATCACTGCTTATGAACCTTTACACAGACACTGTGGTTTCACACTCCTGTACATTTCAAAGCACCAAACTTAAACTCCTGTTGCTATGGAAACACTTCCTGATGATCAAAGATAAAGTGTTTGTCTCAAACTATTTTCTCCAGGAGAATCGCCATCAGTTTCCAATAGTTCGGACCACATTGTAAGTCTTGAGATGACATATTTATTGATGGTAGCACACTGTCACTATCATTTCTTTTTGAAGAGATGAAATAATTGATGATGCATTGACAAAAAAATAGTAACGGTTTTAAGCCAAATCAGGAACCATCGCATCCAGTCATCAACTTCATCTTGAAACAGTTTTTGTTTCAGGATTTGAAAAGACTAAGCATCTAAAAGTATCTCTCTACCTGAATAAATGTCTTTCCGTTTGACTTCACAGTTCTTGAAAGATCTTAGCAACGTTAGCCCTGAGGAAACGTCCTGAGACATTGAAAGTCTGCTGAGGACAGGATGTAATATTTTGGTTTTGGGTTTTTTTGTTCTTTGTTTTGAAAGTAGCTAAAGTTTCCTTGCTTTGTGACATCTGTGTGTTTTATCTTGAGACTAATAAGTATTTTAAAAGATGATTTACAGTAAACCTCCAGGACTAAGGCTGCCCCTCAAAAGCTCAGGCTCCCTCTAAAAATGCTTATAATTTCCTATTTAAAAGTTTAAACATCAAATATACCTGAACACGCATTAATGCGCCCAATGGAAACCGTCTTAGCACTACTGCTGAAGTTCACTAATATCTACAGTCGGACTCATCTACATTCTTTGGGGTACAATCGATCGTCCTATTGGCTGGTGGCTGGTTTGCAAACATCAGCCAATAGGATGTCATGTAGCATGGCGCCTCGGTCAGAGGTCGCAAAATCTACTTTTAATATCTACAACAGGCTTTTACCCAGCTTCAAACTATGCTACCTATATTTCTCCATTTTCCATATTTATAGAAAAGACTCACTCCATTCTGCTAAATTGTCGTTTTTTCCAAAGTAATATTTGTTATAAAAGCTGAAAATTTAAATAAATTTTTGCTTAATTTTAACTTTAATGTAATTAAATTAATTAATTAATTTAATTAATTTAATTAATTTAATTTTAATTTTAATGTTTAATTTTAATTAAACATTTTATGTAAAAATGTATGAAGTACATTTTTAAAAAATAGCTTAGCGCTGCAAAAGCTAATTTTTTGCAACCCTAGGCGAGTTTTATTTTGTAGCAGCGGGGGAAAAGTGGCTCTGTGAATGGAAAAAGTCGCTGATCCCTGATCTACACATTTGCGAATACTGAACCGTGAATAAGCAGGAGGTTCACTGCAGTTAGAAACACAAAACCAGAGACACATTTTAAGACTTCTGATAAATGCTTACACTTTTCTGGATTTTCTAGATACTTCTAAATATCTCACTTCTACATCTCTGCAACAGTAATGATATTTATGGCTTTGTTTATAAAGCAGGCAAATGTGACACAAATCTGCTTTTTTCAGTCTGAAACGGCCCAAACCCGATGTTTTCACCCCCCAAAAAATCAGACTTCTGGACGTAAACAATGGCTAAAAATTATCATGAAATGATGAAAGAAGTTTGTGTCAGTGAATCGCATCACATCACAATCCCTCCACTCTTCGGTCCAACTCCACATCCAGACTGACGTTTTACAGAAGTCATAATCACAAAAAGCCATTGCCGTCTTTTTATCAGCCTTCTTCGTCTTATGATGACACTGTTGGCTCTTGTGGCTGAATAAACTATAAAATCGATGCATAAATGACTATCAAACATGGTGCTGCTGTGTGACAAAGTAATATGGCTGAAAAATGTACCACAATACCAGGGTTTCATATCAGTCAATACTGATAATTACTGTTAGTTTTTTGTTCTAAATGTCTGAAATACTGCCAAACTGGTGGTATGACCTGTCATCTCAAACTGTTGTATTCGTGTTTTCCCTTCACTCCATGCTGTTTTTTGTTTGTAAGCAGTTATAATGAAACCTGAAACTGCTGCTGCACAAGTTACTCAGCAGGTTGTTGCTAGATAACCAGAGTGGGTGAGTTACTTGATGCCACCAACCTTGCTTGGCTGGTTGCTAAAGCCTTTGCTGTGCCTACATCCCCCAGAATGCTGTGCGGTTCTGGATCAGAGTTCAGTGAAATTGTTGAATATTCTATTGATACTGGTCACATCTTTACTGCTTTATAGATTGTTACTGATTTATAGTCCAGTGTTCTTCTGCTCAAGCAGGTCGCTTTGGGACATGAACCGTTTGCACAGAAATCTCATTGAAGTTGGGTTTATTACTATGAATGACCATAAAAAACTCAACGGTATTGGAACTGAGCATCAAGACGTGCTGTGTGAACATAGCCCATAGACAGCATTAGCTTACACCGACACAGAGGTGTTTCTGGACCTGAGACTAGCCACGCTGGCCGCAGAACCCTTCCTGTAAGACACCCAGAGCTTCTTGCTGATGATGCCCTGTTTGTAGAGAGCTGTCAGCAGCTCGTTCCGAAACTTCTCCCCGATGAAGGCGTACAGTACCGGGTTCACCATGCAGTGCAGGAAGGCGATGACCTTGGTCACCTCCAGCATGACCTCCACTCTGTAGCGGATGTCGCAGGTTTCTTTGAGCGACCCGCCTCGGTAGAGCGTGTCTATCAGAACGGTGACGTTGTAAGGCAGCCAGCAAAAGATGAACGCCAGAACCACTGCCAGGATGACCCGCATGGCCTTGTGCTTCTGTTGACTGCGCGTGCTGAACAGCGTCACCACCGTCCAGCCGTAGCAGAACGCCATCACCACCAGGGGGAAGAAGAAGCCCACGGTGTGCCGCAGAACCCGGAGGCCGACCCGCCACTGGTCGCTGCTCTCCCCGGTTAGGTTCTCGTAGCAAATGGCTTTCTGCAGTCCATCTGGAAAGCCACTGTCCGCTCCCATTGGAAAGATTTCCTCTCTTTGAATCGCCACAGGCAGAGACAGCAACCCGGACATCAGCCACACAACGGCGCAGATCACCTTCACCAGCAGGTGGCGGGAGGACAGCACTCGTGTCGCTCTAACGATGGCAAAGTAGCGGTCCACACTGATGCAGGCCAGCAGGAAGACGCCGCTGTACACAGACGCCTCCTGGAAGCTGGATAGGAACTTGCAGGGGAGGGTGCCGAAGAGCCAACCGAAGTGAGACTCAACGGCCCAGAAGGGGAGAGTGAAACAGAAGAGGAGGTCAGCCAGGGCCAGGTGCATCAAGTAGATATCTGTGCTGGCTCTGCCTTTGGTCATCGAGCAGACCACGAAGACCACCACGCTGTTGCCCAAGACGCTGAACACAAACACGATGATGTAGATGACCAGAAGGGCGAGGGAGTTAAATCCCGGCACGATCGGGTCGCAAGGGGAGCTATTCTCATCATAGTCATCAGCATACATATAAGTGTTGTTCTCAGGTGAACTCCAGGATTCCTGTTTCACTTCCTAAAATGAAAACAGAATTGTGTTTGTTGGTGACAGAAATGTGAATAAGGTTTCAGTGAAGTTACCATAGATTTCAGTCAAATCCTAAGCAGTCTTGGTGAAAAGAAAATACATCCTGTCGCATTTCCACTGCTTCACGCACTAATCTGCTCTTTAACAGTTTGATGTCAATCAAACCTCAAGGGAACAAAAACACACAAAAAGCTGCAAGTTAAAGAACTTACTGTTAAAAGTTTTATATGCCAAATTATACTTGGAGATGAAACTTTTGCTGGGAAGGGTTTTCAGCTCATTTCCAATCTAAAGTTCATTACTTTACCAAAAGAAAGTCGCCCTGTGACAATAACAAATTTTCCTGAATGATAAATTATCCCTGGAGTTATTGCAATAAATGATAATGTTGTTTTGGGACCATTTTCAAGTAATATTATGGCAATGCATAAAAATGCAAGAATACCTTCTTTAAATTCTCAAACATCTAACACTGGAACTTAAAGAAACTTTTAATATCCAAAATAAATAAACAAAAACAACAAATGAAATGAATTATGAATTATGCTGACACCAAAACACCAGACTATCCAGTTTTGGGTAGAAAAAGAGAAAAAAGATAAATCGTGCAAATGGAAGTTATTGAGCTTGTTTTAAATTATTGTGCAATTTATGGACTTATTGCTTATTGTGACAGGCTTATTTCCAAGTGGAAATATTTTTAAGATGTTTGCCAATATTCCCAAAAGAGAATATCCCAACAAATTCACTCCAAGGTCAGACAAATGATGTGCAAAGCTGCACCTAAATGAATCACAAGACTTCTGAGATGAAGCTCTTCAAGAGATGAGGCAGATACAGATCTTTGGCCGTAATGCACAGCATCGTTTTCAGAGGAAACCAAACAAAGCGTTTCCAGGTAAATATCTAATACCAGGCGGATGGCTGATTGTTTGGGTTTGCTTTGCAGCAAGAGAACCTTTAAACCTTGCAGCCACTGAGCGTCAGACCATCCAAGTGAAATATTTTAGAGTCAAATATGGACCAATTCTTCTCTGAATCTTTGTAGGGGCATTATTGTTTGGAGATGATGTGGTAGGTTGATAAAATCAGACTGAAAATTATTTCTGAAAGCTTCTGCTACTAAAGGTGGTTTCAGGAAGCTGCTGGATCAGGGGGTGAACTTAAATTTCAACCCACAGCTTTTCCACTTTGGTGTCATTTTCATTTTCATCAAAGTATTTTTGAAGTTTTTTGTTCTCTTGAGGTTGGATTAAAAACTAAAACTAACATTTCTCGACACACTTTTGACTTTACGGAAGGTTGAATCGTCTTTTTACCCTGACTGCATCACTTGCCAGCTGGATGTCTGCTCTTCTTACTTAAAGCAAAATAAATGCATAAATAATGAGCATTATTCTATAATTGTTTCAGTTTGATGTTTACATCTTACAATGCAAGGCACGTAGCTCAGACCACAAACACAGATTCTGCAGTAACCGCTGCAATTTCCTGACTTTGTGATGAAATGACTCACTACTGGTTTAAATGGATGAAAAACCTAAATACTCGTTCAAATATTTCACACGACCTTATTCTCATATATATATATACACACACACACACATATGCACTGAAAGAAATATGTTAATTGTAGAAATGTTTAATAAGACATAAAACTATTCTGAAGACTTAAAATGTTAGCAAAAGCACAAGCAGACAAATATAAAATGTTTTTGTAATCAAATGGTCACATTAAGGAAATACAGTTTAATAAAAATAGATAAAATGCAAACTGCCCATACCGATTTCTGCTCCTCTTGATTTGTCAGCAGCAAATAATTCATGATACACATTGAAAAAGCGAGTAGCTTCATTGCTCCTGACTTGTTGTGCACAAGTAACAATAATAAAGCTGCAGATGTAAAGAGGTGCAGTCTGTCCTTCAGGCTGAAGTCCTGCTGAATGTCTGCACACCGAGAGGTGAGGCAGCTGCTATTAGCAAACTCAGTTTCAATTGTGCAAAAAAAAAAAAAATGAAACCAGAGATATTATCTGAGCCTGGGGGGAAAAAACACACCAGGTTGTATTTGAGAAGTTTGATCACAAAGGTGCGAAAACAAATGTGATAATAAAAAAGTCTTACTTGCAAATCAAATCTGCAAACATGATTTTTTATTTTTTACAGTTTCTTCTGCTCTTTCCCTTTTGAAATAATGTCCATTTATTCTAATGAATCCTCTTACACAAGCATTAAAGTAGCAATGTTGGTAGTAAGGATGCAAGTAATCGATTAATGGATTAATCTCATGTTAATCGATTTTATTGATCAATGAATGATTACATGGTAAATGGCAAGTTTCTTAAAAAATTGAGTTTTCTCTTTTTCAAGTGAGTCGACCATCTTTCCATAGCAAGAAGGGCAACATTTTTCACAATACACCAAATTAAACAAGAAATCAATAAATGTTAGCTTTATTTTATCAGCTGTATTAAATACAGCAATTTGTGGTTTTCTTACATCATTAGTCACACATATTTAAAAAACAAAATTTGAACAAAAATATGTGAAACACTTAATTCCCATGAACAGGGAGATATTCATGCATTAGAATATTTACCGTCTGTGGTGCATTAACTCAGGATAGCCCTCAAAATCAATTTTGCTTATTGGCATTATGTTTTTTTCCTTTATGTTACAATTTTTCTCCATTGTCTCCTCCGCTTTTCTGATGTACCATCACCTTCGGTTGAGAAGTTGATGCCTCTCCGCCATGCAGCTCAGCTAAATAAAGTGCTATTAATGTGATAACTTACGGAGTTTGTTGAGTGTTTATATTTTAAAACAAACAGTATAAAGAGCATTTTACAAACCATACCGGGCTTGGACCGTTTCTCTTTCCCTTACTGAAATAGCCGCCATCTTCAATCCTACATGAACGACTCCACCTAAGGATGACCAGGCAGTGGAGCCATCTGCTGGATGGCGGCCGAACTGCAACACTAAAAAATAGCGAACGTTATTGGTTAATCGATTAGAACCTGAAATCTATGAACGCAGTCAATGTTTCATCGGATTTGTGCTGGACGTACGAATCCTTAATGGGAATAAAAGGGTTCAGGTGACTGGCAGAGTACAAATAACAGGCTACATGTCCGTAGCAGTTAAAAGCTACATTAGCTAAGCTAATTTTGCTAGTAGTAGTAGGTAGTATGCTAAGTACTAAATATCACTGATATTTATTAGTGAAAAAATATCAGTTTATCACTGATATATTACTCAATATTAATACGCTACCCAGAATTAATATTGGCAGAGAACTCAAAAATTGTGATTGGGTAAGCATGCTGGTCCTATACCAGTCTCTGTGCTTATAGAAAACAGACCCACAGTTCTTCCTGCCTAACTTATAAAAGCAAATAACAAAATCAAAGAAACAAAAAATAAATTAACCTACAAATAAACCTTATACATAATCCCCAAAATATGAAGTAAACTAAGAATAAATATTACCAAAATCAAAAATAATAAAAATAAAGAACAAATAGCTCCAGCAATACAGTCATGTGACGTCACACTTCTGTGAACTTATATTGGCAGCCGTCTTGGCAGGCAGTGGCTATGGAGTTGCTATGACAACAATAAACAAGTCACAAGCTTAGAACCGGCTCTTGTCTCGTTCCTAGCTAACTTACACCTGCACTGGGCCGGGCCTGTGTGTGTTTTTTCAACCAGAGCCGAAGAGGCAGCATGAAGCAATGGAAAGCTTGATCTTTGTTTATTGCTTACAAAACTGGAAAAAGGAACCAAAAAACTGTACTTATTTTGCCTCTGCACAGAACAACACCGCAGTGCAGCAGTGACTCATTGAATTTTTGATGTTTGGTTGACAAACAATCACCATACCTACTGGATGCATGGAGGCCTCCTGGCATACCAGCACAACAGAAACCTAATCAGGTTTGTGCAGCAGGAAGTTATTTTCCACTTCTTTCCCTTGTCTTTCAATTTTCTTAATAAAGAATCAATACATTAATTTTAAGATTTGGATACAGTTGGATACCGTTAGTCATGCAGCTGCAGGATTGAGGTTTGAAGTCTTCCTGTAAAATTATCACCTCTCTTCACCTCCTGTTGCTGGTAAAAGTCATGTAGATAAAGATTTATTGATGAGATCTACCTGGAGGAAGTTTGCAAATGTGCATGTTCACCTTGCATGCACGGCTGCAAAAACAAAACTGAAGCTTTCGCTGACAAACTTGAGCCAGTCCAGTCGGTTTCTGAAGTTGGTTTGTTGCATTCGATCGGACATGACCATCCAGCCTGAAATTACTTGTTATGGGAGAGAAACTGAAGTAAGAATGTGAGACTGTGTGGGCAGAGCTGATTCAATGTGGTTAACGCAAAGCAGCTCAAATGAGAGATTGACATTTCCTGCCTCCTTGGCCCTTTAAAAAAAATACTTTTGCAAAATGTGAAAATGTATTTTCCAAGAAGCAGCAGGCCTTTGCTTCCCTGAATGAACTCACAGTGGGTTGAAATTATAACAGGAAATCGTGAAATTATAACAGGATTGTGTGGAGTAGGTGGAAGCTTCATCTGACTTCAGATGAAAAGCATTATGCAATGAAAACAGATCTGGTTTTCCCCCTTTTTAAGACTTTCATGAAGCAAACACTGGGAAAGTGTTGAATTTACTGAGCAAAAATACATTTTTATTTAGAACCACAGCAGCCTCAAATTGAATTTTCTAAAACTGTTTTCTAATCTGAAATTAGCCAAACATGCTACATAAAAGTTTAACATCTACCATGTTGTTTTTGGATTATTTTCAGTTAAATTGTGGTTTCAGGCTCTGCCACAAATATTGTTGTTTCCTCGATTTTGGTTTCGTTTCCTTTTTCCTGTTCTTTCTTAAGAAAACAATTTTAAATTCTGTCTTCAAGTTCAGAGTTTTACAAATCTTAAAATTTTTACCTTGCAACATTACAGTTTAGTGGTCAATGTCTCCTGGACTCTGTTTAGGTTTTCAGCATTTCTGTTGTTTTAATTTGAATGTCCTTCAAATAAGATAAAAAACACATTAGCACAGCTACAGAAGAAACGCAGTTTGCATGATGCAGCATGTAGAACCTTCTGAAAGTCCGATCACAGTATTTTGGCCAGGTTGAGGTGTCGAGTTTTCGTTTTTAGGATTAGTCTTTCTGTTTCACTCATTCTCAGGTGAAGTGAACCTCTGTTATTTGCGGTATTTAAAGCTGCAGTACCTTTAAGAGAAAAAAATATTTTTTCTGTATTTGTTGAAGTTGTCAACATGTCGTGACAGTATGGTATGAGATAGATAAATTGTTGAAAAAAAAAATCAAGGTATTCTGCCCCCTCCAGCGATAACAAGAAAACACAGTAAGAGCAGCCAGTGTCTTCCTGACAGCAGAGCCTTTTATGAATGCTAAGCTAGTTAGCATAGCCACTGATTATAGCAGATAAACGGTTTTCCTGTAACAGTGAGTTGTGTCTGCGCCATTAGTACATTTACCAGCGCATATACAAAGTTGATTGACAGCTCTAAGCCCCTCCTGCTGGCTCTGATTAGTTGTTTTTCTTGGGCCAGCAATAGTAGGGGAAACAAAACCCAAAAACGATGTTTGTGCATCTTTTCCAAACATCGCTATTCCAGAACTCTTGATCTTCATACAGACGCAACTTTCTTGCCTCTTTCTGTCTAGAAAAAAGAGATTTCCCCCCCAAACATACAGTCTTTTCTGATTGTCCCTTCCATGAACTTAAACATTTGACATGCTAGCTAAGGTTTGTAGAGATCGAGCTCTTGGTTTTTTTCCTTATTTCTAATCACAATGCTTTGACCTCGGACTGACTTCTGGGATATCCACTGATGCCCTGATTACCAGCAGTCATGAAAATTTTACTCTTTGTAGAATGATGGACTTCAGATAGGTTGACCTTATAACCTTCCATTATGACATCTTTCCACTTCAGTGTTGTTTGAATATTTTAAAAATCTCTCGATTTGAACGAGTCTTTAGAAAACCAACAGAATTTATAAATTACTTCACATTACCCTGTGAAATCACACAAACCAAAAATTAAAGTTATCCAAAATAAAATGTTTTAAGACAAATACAGACAAATATCCACTAGAGGGCAGCACCAGTCTTAAATTTCTTTAGTAACAGTTTTCTTGCAGTGATTTACAAGATGATTTCTGTACTTTTCCTAAATGTGTAAAAAAGAAATGATCATATTTATTTATATTTATCATATTTATCTCAAGTTTTATAACTTGAGATAAATGTGTTTTAACTGAAAGGTGACCCATTATGCTTTTTTGAACAGGTTAGGATACATCTATGGGCGATACAAAACATGTTCATCATATTTTTTGCACAAAGTCATTCTTACATAATGAGATTTTAGCTGCTTTGGGACCTCCAGGCACTTTAAATCAAAATAATCTGCTGCTGGCCACGCCCTCCATCTCAACATTTACACTTGTTGCAAACAGATGCACAGTTATAAAACCATACATTTTTGAAAAGCAGAAATGGAGCTTCCTGCACAACCAACAACTATGTAGGAAGTGGTTCTTGGAAGTAAAGAACAGAACACTTGTCGTTTCCAGCAGCCATTGTACAGTATAGACAACGGTAAACCCAGCTGACCAAACATGTAGGTGACAGAATAAGCTAGGCTGGGGTTGCTACAAAACGGCACAAAGCCTGTCAATTGTGAGTCAACATTTGAGAGGCTTTTGAAAGGGCTCATTTTCCAGACACCAAAAAACATTAACTTATTGCTAAAAAAAACAAACAAACAAACAAACAAAAAAAACAAACAGCTGGATGTTTTTGTAAGCGCCGGAGACGTTCTTAGAAACAGTTGTAGATGGAATTAAAAAAAAAAGTACATTTTTGCCAAAAAAACTCATACATTTTTAGATTAACCAAAATGTTTCGACTTTTGGAAATTTCCTGACTTTATTTTAAATAAACATAAAATTAAATCTAAATATT